GAATTTCCGAGGACGGAAATTTTTAAGGAGGGAGGATTGTAATATCCCGTCAGTTTGTTAATATAAATCATGTTTTAATTCCGATTTAATAACGTTGTCGATTATTATTTTCGGAATTTATTATTTCCAGTCGAGATTACCCGAAATTATTTTCGACGTTCCGTTTACGTTCGGAATAATTTTGGTAATTAAGTATTATGCTTAATAATTAATTAAGCATAAAGGGTGATTAAGGAATAATTAACCACGGTTTAATTGAGTAAAAATCGTATCAATTTTTCCTTAAAAATTCCAAAGCCGTAAGCTTCCTTCCAAGAAAGGAACCTTTCTTTTGTCAAGCTTGAGGTGGCAATAAAAGTGATTAGTCATCCTTAAACTTCTAGCTAACCTACAAGTGTCATGTTGTTGTTGAAACAACAAATCACCACCTCATTCATTTTCCTCTTTCGGCTGCTATATATAGGAGTGGTGTGGGGAGAATTTCTCCTTATCCTTAAGACATATATATATGCTGCTAGTATAGAGAGCTAGAGAGTTAGAGAGAATTGAGGAATTTTCTCTAAAATTTATACCTACCGCACTGCAAGCGCAAGGACACTGCATGTACCGAGAGCATCATCCACGCACGGAGGCTTTAATTACCTCGACAAGTTAGTACGGTCGGTTGAGGGTTCAAGAAGGTAACTTTGTTTTACCTTGAGTTATGATAGCTCCGGTTGTGTTTAGATCTCGTTCATGTTACAGCTTAAGCTGTTTGTTCATACGTGTAGTCCATTGAGAGCACGATCATATTTTATTCATAATATCTCGAGCAAACTTTGCATATTCAGTCATTAGATGCAATATCATGTCTCTTCAGCTTGAGTTGTTCGAAAGAAGTTTCATGTTTGAGTATTGATTTGGCCAAAGTACGTGGCCGTGCACCTAGCGCGTGCCACGGGCCGCTCATGCGTAGTAAGTACGTTAAGTAAACATTCTACTGATCATTCATGTCCATTTAATCAGTAAATATCATGTATTGAGTAGTCATGTGTAATTGTCGAGAAAAGATCAAGTTTGGTCGTAAAACGGCTTAACGCCGTCGGCGGTGCACAGTGCGCCCGCCGCGGCCGCGGTCAGCTTTTTGTGCAAAGTTTCATGATTTTAAGTGAATTCAGTCTTTATGTTCATGTCATGTCAGCTAATGTCTTTTGGAATTAAAGTGCTCGAGAGTAGTTGTCGGACGGCCGGCTAGGGCC